ATATTGGTGTCTATTTCTGTCTATCGTCCAACTCACATTTCATACGAGTTATTTCGACAAAACGAATATTTTATGCGTAATAAACAAACCGGACGTAATTCATTGACATTTTCAAAATTTCCTGTCTTTCTCAGCTACTCGTCTTTTATGCTTATCGTTCCGGATACGTTATCGAGAGTTTAGGGACCGGTCATAAAGTAACTGCTAGGGTGGGCCGGAGTGATTTGGGATGGGCCATGGAAAATCTTTGGGCAGTTTCGATGGGCCACCAAATATTTTGTATGTCTACGGATGGGCCACCAAACAAAAACCCATGTCTACTTTCATCCAGGGGCGTAGGAAGCCAGGGGGGCCTCAGCGCCAACCATGGTGGCACCTTGTGGGAGTCGCCCCCCTAACTTTTACAAGCTTCCCTGCTTTCATCACTTATTATGATAAATATAATAGCAAATAAGATTTTAAAATCAAACATATAATACAAATCTAACAGGCTGTACACTGCACATAGGGCAGCAGGGGCAACTACCCCCCCCCCCTAAAATTTAACTAATTTTATAATGTGATTATATGCTTGTAGCGGATAATTATGCAGTCAGGCAATAACAATTTCATGCAAACAATATTCAAAGTGTCTATACAGCCGGCCATTTAGTAAACTGTCACTTGTCAATCCATACTCATAAAATTTTCAGAACTTTATTGTGATAATATAAAGCAAAAGTTCTGTCACTTGTTGTTTACACTTGCCAATGTTAACTGTTGAGTAACATACACACTATTCGAGGAACATGCATTACTGTAGCAAAGAGTCAATCATATATATTGAAGACCATGCACTGAATAGTAGAGAATGTTTTGAAGTTTGAAGGTCATTTGTGCATGAAGCATATTATACAATTACTTTATGGTTTCCGTGTTTGGATGGCCTGATCCAAACACGCGGGAATGTTGCGAGAGTTAAGAAAAGCGAGCGAAATCACGAGCCGAAGGCGAGTGATTTTGCCCGCTTTTCTTAACTCGAGCAACAGTCCCAAGTGTTTGGATCAGTCCATCCAAACACGGAAACCATAAAGTAATTGTTTTATAAAATAACAACAACACGATAGTCTTCCGTGTTTGGATGGCCTGATCCAAACACGGCTTTTGACCAATCAGAACACGCGTTATATACATGTTATTTTATAAATTCAATTCCAACCCTGTGCACAGTTAATGATATACCACACTGTTTGGTTTAACTCAGCATATCCACACAAAAAAAATTTGTGTTGTGGGAGAATATCTGTTTGAGCAGAAGGTATCACAAGTTTAGTTTTGTACAATGTCTGCCATTGATCTGATCCATCCATATAATATATGATTATTGTAGCAATAACTTATTTTCCATACTGATGAATTTAGGTAAGATTGTCTTGCAAGTGGGTTGTTCTGACAAAATTATCCAGCCAATATCCAGTATTCATCATTCGATCTTGTATTAATCTCTAAACAAAAACATTTATATTAGAAAGCAAAATGACAATGTAATGAGGAGGGAGGGTGGGGATTCTTTTATTAGCATTTGAAAATGGTTGTCACAATTTTGTACAAACCTAACTAGTGGCCCACATTAAAAAGCCTGTAAAGGTTTCCAGTAGGTCTCTAGCCCATCACCTTCAAACTACACATAGTTTTGTTACTTATAATATATTGTACACATGGGAAATAAATATATGATTGATTGAAACCAAAATGTATAAGTATAATTTAACTGATGACATCTTTACCTTTGCTCTAACACTACATTTGATGACAACTTAGTTGGACTGTTGTTTTGAACAGAGTTACAGAAATACAGGACCAGGATTTAATTCAATATCTCCTGAGAACATTAGTTTCTTGTGATATTGTTAATTGGCAATATAATGCCTGCAGCCAGAGTTTTGACTGTTTAAAATATTACACAATGATTGTTTTTATACTGTATAAATGTATATAATAAAATGTGGTATTTGGCTACTTACCAGATGAGGATAAGTTTCCATGTTGATAGATAACTTTGGAATAATATCACAAGTAGAATGGTGAAAACAAGACAGCCAATTCAAGATAAAATCAAGATATTTTGAAGCCAAAATATGGCAAAGAATAACACGAGTACATTACACGAGGCCAAACTACGCCCGTTCGCAGGTTAGGTGCGAGCACGATGTAAACAATTGATGTAAGCTAATCGCTGATTGGCTTAATTATATAAGCTCGTCGCTGAATGGCTATGGGTAACGTTAATACTAATCTGCTTCGCAGATACAAAAATAAAGATATACACCGGCACTGTATTGATATATGTTCATACCTGCAAGTTTTTTTCATTATAAAAGTGTATTTTCCCAATTTAGATTGGGTGGGTGGGTCATGAAATAAATTTGGTAAGATTGGATGGGCTTTGAAATTTTTATCTACATCTAAGATGGGTCACCAAACTTATTGGCAAAATTTGTGATTTACCTCCAGCCCACCCTAGCAGTTACTTTGGAGGCCAGTCCTAACACGACTTTTATGTATATATATTCTGGAAGATATGGAAAGTTGTTCCGGAGCAAATACTGTGCCATTATGTTTACCAGACTGTCCTGGAATTAGTGATCGAATCTTTTTGCATGGATATATATGACCAAGCGTCCCAATCTCCAGTCGTTATTTTAAACACATCAGAGTGGCTGACCTACCCAAAGCTTTGCACATCGTCGGATTCATCCATATAGGGGTTATATATTTCAAGGACGATCAGGGCTGGCACGGGCAAAGGCCGGTTGTGGGCATAAGCTGAGCCTGGGTTTTCTGTGGGCTTACCAGTCATCAGTGGCCCTGTCAGCTCGAGAATTGGGGGGGGGGGGCGAATATTCGTATCTTCGTGTTCATAATATTAACTTCTTTTGAAATCGATTTTTTTATGGTCTGTGAACACAGTATATATGAATATTTGCCCCCCCCCCCAATTATCGAGCTGGCGGCGCCACTGCCAGTCATCAAGTTTTACCAAAATTTAAACCAACTCAAAGTGCAACTCTCATCGACTTTCATCAACTCCTATCCCCATTTGACTAAAATAAAATCCACATCTAACATTACCCAAGAATACACATATAAATTAGACATACATGTAAATTAGAGGGCACTCGGAATTGCATATCTCCGCGGCCAGCAAATTAAATTATGTATCACGCATAAATTATACAATGGGCGAATTATGCAATCCATTAAGTTTACTCTGCATGGCAAAGCAAACTTCTCATCCACTTTTCATCCGAATTATTTAACCATGCATGCATGGGCAATGTTCATTAGTCCCACAAATTTTTGTACAAATACGTTTTATATTTTTAAAGTTATCGTGCTGGCACACGCAAATATAATTAAATTTGTTTTTGTATATATATATATATATATATATATATATATATATATATATATATATATATATATATATATATATATATATATATATATATATATAT